CGCCTTAACAGAAGAATCCGTCCCTGGTTTTTCTTCCACGAACCGCCCAAGCGAGGCTGCTCTGCTGAGGTTTCCAGGTGGTCAGGTGTCTTCCTCTGACTGCAGCGCCTCCTAGAGGTGGAGAAATGTCTGCATCCGTGGTGGGGAAATCGTTGGATCATTGCAGCTTATCTCTACCTGGACTCTGTCGATCTGTTCTCTCTGGTCATTATATGATTTTATAATTACATTTAATATTAATTAGCTTATTGCTGCAACATCAACCATGTACAGATGTAGCCATTCAAAATTTCCTACTTTCCTTGATGGGTTCTTGGCTAATCCTTGGCTAATCTTTGGTTAGTTCTTGGCTGGTCCTTGGTTAGTCCTTGGCTGGTCCTTGGCTAGTCTTTGTCCTTGGCCAGTCCTTGGTTAGTCTTTGTCCTTGGCCAGTCCTTGGTTAGTCTTTGTCTGGTCCTTAGCCAGTCCTTGGTTAGTCCTTGGCTGGTCCTTGGCTAGTCTTTGTCCTTGGCCAGTCCTTGGTTAGTCTTTGTCCTTGGCCAGTCCTTGGTTAGTCCTTGGTTAGTCCTTGGTTAGTCTTTGGCTGGTCCTTAGCCAGTCCTTGGTTAGTCTTTGTCTGGTCCTTAGCCAGTCCTTGGTTAGTCCTTGGTTAGTCTTTGGCTGGTCCTTAGCCAGTCCTTGGTTCGTCCTTTGTTAGTCTTTGGCTAGTCCTTGGCCAGTCCTTGGTTAGTCCTTGGTTAGTCTTTGTCCTTGGCCAGTCCTTGGTTAGTCTTTGTCCTTAGCCAGTCCTTGGTTAGTCCTTGGTTAGTCTTTGTCNCTTGGTTAGTCCTTGGTTAGTCTTTGTCCTTGGCCAGTCCTTGGTTAGTCTTTGTCCTTAGCCAGTCCTTGGTTAGTCCTTGGTTAGTCTTTGTCTGGTCCTTAGCCAGTCCTTGGTTAGTCCTTGGTTAGTCTTTGTCTGGTGCTTAGCCAGTCCTTAGTTAGTTCTTCGTTAGTCTTTGGTTAGTGCTTGAATGGTCCTTGGCCAGTCCTTGGTTAGTCCTTGGTAAGTCTTTGGCTGATCCTTGGTTAGTCTTTGGCTAGTCCTTAGCCAGTCCTTGCTTAGTCCTTGGTTAGTCTTTGTCTGGTCCTTGGCCAGTCCTTGGTTAGTCCTTGGTTAGTCTTTGGCTGATCCTTGGTTAGTCCTTGGTTAGTCCTTGGCCAGTCCTTGGTTAGTCCTTGGTTAGTCTTTGNTTGGTTAGTCCTTGGTTAGTCCTTGGATGGTCCTTGGCTGGTCCTCTACTATTCATTTTTAAACATCTAAAATATTCTTTCTATCATGATTTGTTGACATTAAAATCCAAAGAAAAACGCCATCTCCTGGTCAGACCCTGTAATTCAGTGAAAGGGTGGAGTCAGAGTAAATAAATATGGCCGCCCAGGAGAAGGCCAGTGGCTGGAAGTTGGAGGGGATTTTGCTGCCATTCGGCTGCCTTTTAACTGGGAAGGGTCATTTTGAATGGCTGCTACTGTATAATGTGCACGGCAGCCATGTTGGATTGAAGAGTGGGGCTGGAAACTTAAATATTTGTTCCAAAATACCTCAAAGTAAAGAGGTAATTAGCTCTGGTTGCTCCAGTTTCAGAAATGTTGAGGAAAAACTGCGATTCTCCCTGAAACTACAGAAAAACTACATTTAATGAGTCC